GAATCAACAACATCAAAAACAATATTCAAATCAATTTGAACAACACAAATTATATACATGAATATTAAATAGCTTAACAAAAGCCAAAAGTATAATAATTTTGTTGTTTTTAACCTATATACAAAAACAATATTTCATAATTTTTTATTTTTAACCTATTAATATATTCCTACATTTCCAAACTATTTAATTATTACGTAAGAAACAAATTTTCATCGCATGTCCAAAAAAAATCGAACATTTCCGTCGTATTTCTAATTTGAAATCTCTAGGAAACAAGTTTCCATCGCGTTTCCAAAACAGAATTAAAGTTTCATTTGAATTTTCAAAATTAAAATATTTTAGAAAACGCGTTTCCATGGAGTTTCCAAAAGTTTTGGTTTCCGAAACGTTTCTGAAACGGAAAACGCTTCTCAGACGGAGTTTCGATGTAACCTAGAACTTCGAAGAAACAAATACTATATTTTAACAATAAAATATGCATATACTAGAAGATCTAGACGATACATTTTTCATGCTTATTAACAAAACATAAGAATAAACTCAAATCCAAACGGGTTTCTAAAAAAAAAAAAACTCAAATCCAAATGGTACGCTTTTATGTTAACAAAATGTTTAAAGATAGAAGAACGAAAGTAGTTGACAAATAACATTTTGCTGCCAACAATCTATAAAATTATATATATGCCGTCATACACATATTTTACATAGTATATTGTTTTCGTCAGCCAAAAAAAATTAAGACAGACGCAAAAGAAAAAACTCTTATGAGGAAAAAGAATAACATAATTTGCTTTCACACTCATCCAACATTTATTTCAATTAAAATCCCTCATGTTGCTCAAAACTCACCAACACCAAAATCTTTACCCTCCCAATGTTTAACCAAGGCATTTCAAAATCACTATTTTGAAAGAACTATGCTTCAGGAATCCAATGGCTTCAATATCACTTGAACTCCATATTTAGGTTTTATAGTAAGCACAACGATCGGGGCATGTCTATAATTGTTTGATATCGTGAAGTTGAACTTCGAAACTAGCGTTGTTAATATTATTTTTGCTTCCATCATCGCAAATGATTGTCCGATGCAGTTTCGAGGACCCGCTGCGAAAGGAATGAAATGTCGACCAGGCGCGAATGGTCTACCTCCAAAGCGTTCGGGGTTGAATTCATTAGCATCTTTTCCCCATAATTCTTCGCTATGATGGATCGCGAGGACCGGTATCCATATTGATAAACCTTTGGGAATTGTTAGGTCACCTAGTTTTATATCTTCAAATGCCATCCTTGGTAGAAGAGTAGCTGGAGGGTATAGTCTTAATGACTCGTTAATCACTTTATTTAACTGTTGAAAAGAAAAGAAAAAGACAAAACAAGTTAGCAGAATACTCTATTAATTTATATTGGGATCATATCTTGTGATCATGCGAAGTGGCTCTTGACTCTTTCTCAAACATCTTTTAAGTTTGGAAATTGACTTTTCCTTTCGAAAAAGACTATCAATAAAGCTGTCGATATCTAATCATTAGTTAATACAGGTTTAGATTTTTAGATAATATTTTATGCAAAGCATGTCTTAGTGCTAATCACTAAACAAATAGAATATGTCATTTATTTATTCCTGAAAATCTATGTTCCAGTCTCTATATCTTATCATATTTCAAAGATAGCTTAACCAATGTTAATCGTATCTAATTATCATAACTATTTATAAGAATAGTATATGTATCTATGTTAATTCAGTTATAAACATGTAACAATTGATTCTAGAATTCATATATCTCTAAAGTCTAAACATCAGTGGACCTAGACATTCTATTTTATTTGGTTTTGGCTAGGATTGAAGATTATGCATGAAGACAAAATTAAATGATATCTACTCATCAGGGTTCTTCTCTGTACCGATTTGATGACTATGTTATAAGCTTAAGTTATGGAAGAAGCACTACGAAGTTAGTGGCACTGCGTATACTGTATTGAATGTTAATACCCCACCCGCACCCATATATTAATCATAAAGAGGTAATTCTTCTATAGTTATTTTTCAAAAATAAAATAAAAATATATATAGTTATATGCTTATTTTATGGAGCAAACAACAAATATCATCTTTTTAATATGTATGAGTTAGTGGCCTTCGAGTCCTACTCCAAATCTAAACAATGTGGTAAGAAATGAATAAGTTTGAAATATTGATGTGACTTAACGTTTTATTTTTTAGGCGTCCAATAGTCCGCCGCAAACATTTTTTTGCATAATAAAACTTATCTTCGACACACTAAAATTTGTGAAATGGAAAGAAAATCGAGACCGCTAGCTAACTATTCTGTTCCGTTCGAGGCTACCAGTCAGGCTAAAGTATAACTTAACTCCTACGTTGACTCGATCAAATCTAACCAAAAGTTCAAATCTTGCAAGAAAAGGATTGATCTTAGGTCTAGCTAGAATTCAAGTTCCTTTGGAGGAGAACAATATTTTTTAGAAGTTTTATATCTAAAAGTAAACGTACATACCGAGGTGAGCTTGGATAGTTGATCAACCGAGGGAACGCCGTCGCAATCACATACCTCTTTGACTTCATCACGGACTTTTTCCTGCCACGTGGGGTTATCGGCGAGGAGCATCATTGTCCATGTGAGGAGCAATGCGGTGGTCTCATGGCCAGCAAAGAAGAACGTCTTACATTCATCCATTATCAACTGAAGATTGTTGTTGTCACTATTGTTATCCTTGTGGCTATCCATTTCGTTCAACAAAAGCCCAAGAAGGTCATCGCCGTGAGTACTGCTCCGGCCCATCTCAGCGCAATCTCGCCGGCTTTGTATAATCTCTATTAACAAACGTTCCACTTCCTGTTTAAGAGACTTTATCTCTCTGTTGTATTTGCTTGGAAGAAACCTAGATACAAGTATTTCACCTTAAGTCAACGTTTGACTCCACATAAGGTCAATTATAAAGCATTAGTCCAATGAAAACATGATAGAGAGTAATGGTCAATGGCTCAATGCTATTGCTATTGCTAGACAGGGAAAAACAAATTGCTTGAAACCCGGGAATGACACACCAAAGCACAAACTAATTTTCGAAACTTATAATCGCCATATTCAAAATTTGTACGGTGACGGATGAAGCGGACTGGTTTGATATGTTACGGACTAAACTGCTCAATTTTTTTTAGGTGGAAAGAGAACACTATATTTCTTATTTATAAATAAAAATGTAATCATTACCGTTGTGTCATCATTTAGATCCTTAACTAATATTTTATTAATTGTTGAAAAATTAGAGATAAGAATTTTCAGAGTGTGGAAGAAAACCAACCGGCTGCCCGGAAAACAGAGGTGTCGGGTGGCTTGAGCACATCGGCGTTGGAGGATGGTGAGATGGTTAAAGAGCTCTTTGCCTTTCTCGAAGCTACTTCCGAACTCGGTCCTCGATATAATATCCGCCGTGAGCTGGTGCATCTCTTCCCCTATCTCAACCTCACCTCCTCCATCCCCAACTTCCTTTTTCAGCCTCTCTACTAACCTACTTGTGCACTCCACCATGTGCCTTGCATAGCCCTACAATAAAAAGGGTATTTTAGTCATTTTCAACGTTTAAGAGATTTTTTCGATTTGCATGAGGTTAATTTATGACCGTGCCTTAAGCCTTTCTCCGGTAAATGCCGGTGCAGCAAGGTGACGTTGGTGGTGCCAGTCTTGGCCATTAGCCATAAGGAGGCCACGACCGATGAAGTTCTTTGTCCCTTGTTGTTGGAGCCACGATCTTCCACTTACACCGTTATGTTTCATTAGCAACTCCTTTATCAACTCCGTTTCTGTTAGGCAGAGACGAGGATCCGTCCCGTTCCACACTATAAATCTCTTCCCTGATTCACCAAAACGAAATATAAGGTTGTAATCAAGATTATGCCAAGGTAAAACAATTGAAGTGTGATAATTTGTTTTTCATGTAATCAGTGTAAAACATTAGTCGGTAAGTTTATCAAATAAAATATTTTCATCAATTTTCCGAGAAATATTTTAGAAAAAAAAAAAAATCAATTTTCCGACAGACAAATACATATTACGTTTTATAAGAGAACCAACTTTGTAACGAAATCTATGTTTAGCACACAACCAAAAACACAATTTGTTACAAATTCAAGACCCTACCATATTGTTTGGACCACGTAACATAATGCGGCAGAAGGCGGCCGACGATATCATGGTGAATCGAATCACAGTCCTTAGAAGCGGATTGAGAAACCATAGCCGATATTTCAACAATATTTCCGGTTAGTGGACGCGGTTTAGGACCGGTTACGCCTTGCCGCTCCATAATCTTCTTGATTCGCCTAGGTGTTAGCCAGTAGCATGATATGGTATCGTATAGGACTCTCAATATCAAGGTCACGAGTATCACGAGGAGAGATTTTAATAGTGTAAGCAACATTTTTTTTGTTTA